TTTAACTCAATCCTTCCAGGGACTTCCTTGCCTTGTAGCCTCACAACCTGAGTTTATCTTTACCAATTAGCTCCTGCTGCAGTGACTACATAACCAATAAGCCCCAGGTGTTAAGATTAGGGAAAGTAACATCTGGCCCACAGATTTGACATGACTGATCTGCTATCCCATCACAACCATGTCATCCCAAGTCCCTTTACAGACACAATTCAATCAAACCATTCTGTTAGATTGGTTTGAAGTTACCTTAAGAAAAGCAACAGATTTCAATCAATGACTGCAGCATTTGGTCCTCCTAGAGCATGTGGCAAAGGCAGACATGCATTTACAATGTGTACTACAATCAACACAGAATGCATGCAGTGAGAGTGGAGAGGAAAAACTTCCTTTTAACAGATTCAACCTCGGCCAACTGCTGAGGCCGACTGGGGGTTCAAAGAGACAGAAACAGACACACAAAAGGATAATAGAAGCATAGGAGAGAAAAAGGACTAAACACTGAATGAAAAAAACAACAACACTGCCTTGTATAATTTAAAGTATTGATGACTGCAGCCCAGCTGGGTTTTCTTTCCAGCATGTTGCCGCAGCCAAACAGGACAAAACCAGACGAAGCATATATAACATAGTGGATCTACAGGCTTAGACTTAACAACAAGGATAACATAGGGGACCACAGGAGGTCCAAGAACATTGAACACAGTCCTCTGTATGCATGGGGAGATGGTGGCGCATCTGGACAATAAAGCTCCTGAGAATTTAGATTTCTTCTAACCTATTCTGGAGTGAGAGCGCCTCACATCTGGTGACAAATGCCTAACAATGGCTCTCCTTTCTTAGAAAGCTGGAATTAAATGATTTCTCAACTGCCCTTTACGTGATTGGTTAGAATTGAAAGTATTTGTGTCTCAGTGTGGCAGAGTGATACACTATACAGCACAGGAGAATGAGGACTTGGCACTGATGGAGCATCTGTCTACCCGATCTGGACTATTTGTGCTGCATGAATCCATGAAAGTGGCTGACATATTGCCACAGACTGCAGTGTTTTTCACGGCCCGATCAGGAAAACAACACAGGAACAACAGACTTAGAAACAGCTTCATTTCAAATGCTGTGAAGGCAATCAACCTTTGATGGTCCGAAAATCACATTCCAGCTTACAATTATAGATAAACACTCCTGCTGACAATCGTGTGGAGCAGCAGCCCATTCTGACACAAGCTGCTCTTTTTATAAATACATTACCATGTTTTTCTCTCCAAGGTTTATACATTCTAGATGTGTTTTTATTCTAATTTTTTTATGAGTTAAACACGTGTTTCATATTTTTGATTTTCTTCTGTTTTCTCTTTTATGGTTTATTATAAGAATGCTTTTTTTAATTAGGTGCTTTTAATTTGTGTCTTAAGTGTTATGAACGTTCTAAGCCAATATCTCCACAAAATGTCATAATGCTAACGTAATGACAGTATAGACTTTTTAAAATTTTTAAATTAATTGGTTAAATTCTATTTTTAAGGAACCTATTTCAATTTTTAGCTGTCACACTTTGAAGGAAGAGGGATTACATCAGATTGCCTCTTTTCTCTATTCCAACTGATTGGCTAAAGAGCCTTGAAAAGTTTTTATAAGTTTACTTATAAATGTGAAAGGATTTTATTCCAAAATTACACATATAGTGTCTCCTTTTTATCATACCAACTGTTTTTTTCAAAATCCAACTAGGAATCATGAGAGCAACACTTTTTGTACTCATTATATACATCAGTGGATGTTTCTATCTTTTAAATGATTGGCTGAAGAGTCGTGACCAGCAGAGATGTCACTTCCTGTCAGTAACTTCAAACAAACAAAAACAAGCAGCAGCTTCCTGTCCTCTGTTCTGCCTTCTTTTCTTAGCTGTCACAGAAATAGCAGCAGCCAGCTTGGAGCTGCTCCACCGTCAGTCAGCCCAACCTGCACAGCTGCTCCCACAGAGACACAGAGAGATGGAGGCTGAGATACGGAGAGAGGGGCTGGGGGAGGAGGAGAGGGGGGAGAGAGAGAGGCATCAGGTTTTTGTATGATGCTTTTTTACCGTGGGGACAGGGGGCCACGGTGATACAACCCCATAGAGCCGCCGTACAAAAACCTCCTTCCATTAACATCCATGATGTAGGCGGCTGAGTGGATCTCAGAAGGCCTCAGAGAGCAGGAAAAGGGTCAATCTGAAGGTGGGCAGGATGGAGGCTCAGCTTGGTCTTAAAAAATGATCTAATATGTAGAATCTGGATCAGAAATATGTTTTAGAAAGAGATGTTTGACTTTGTTTGTGGAGCGTTTGGATCATGGGTTCCTCATCTAAAACATTACAGCTTCTTTAAACATTATGAAGCTCATCCTGCTTGTTTAACCCTCCCTGATAATCTGTGTTATTACAGTATGTCTGAAGAAGTTGATTCTGGAAAGATTTTGGACTTTTTAGTCAACGAGGGAATCAGTGTGACACTGGAAATGAAGCTTACTTTGGAAAAGGAACAAAACTAACAGTTCTGGGTGAGTGCGACTTTTAACACGTTCAGTTCAACAGATTAGATTGAAATTTTAAATTAAAATTGAGAACAAATATCAGGAGTTAAAAAGCTGTGATGTATTAACATGAAGTTAAAGCACTGTGACCAACACTCAACCTGCTTACTTTGGTGGAGGAACCAAACTCACGGTTTTAGGTAAATATTACAGTTTAATACATTGTAATGGATTCGGTTTTGATTAAAAATTCGGTCCAGAAGAATCTGTCTCTGAAGGTCTCTGTAAAGATAACTGTGGTAGAAAAACAGTTCATGTTTAGCATTGCTGCACTGTGACAATGATGAAGCTTACTTTGGAAAAGGAACAAAACTAACAGTTCTGGGTAAGTGCGACTTCTAACACGTTCAGTTCAACAGATTAGATTGAAATTTTATGGAAATCTTAGATTAAAGAAATAAAATATATTGAGAGCTAAAAGCTGCTATGTATTAACCTGAAGTTAAAGCACTGTGACCAGCTCTCAACCTGCTTATTTTGGTGGAGGAACCAAACTGACGGTTTTAGGTAAATATTTCACTTTAATACAGTTTTATAGGATCTGGCTTTGATTAAAAATTCAGTCCAGAAGAATCTGTCTCTAAAAGTCTTTGTAAAGATAATTGTGGTAGAAAAACAGTTCATGTTCAGTATTGCTGCACTGTGACAATGCTGAAGCTTACTTTGGAAAAGGAACTAAACTCACTGTTTTGGGTAAGTTGGACTTCTAACATGTTCAGTTCCTTGTGTTACGTTTAAAATATGCAGTTTAGTAAAATGGAGAAAAAAATCTGTTAAGCTTAGGGTTCTGATATTTTGAGCTTAACTGAGAGCACTGTGACCAACAGAGACCCTGCTTACTTTGGTCACGGAACCAAACTGACAGTTTTAGGTAAATATTACCTTTTATTTAAGAGCTATGATGGACAGCACTTTGTTTAGAGACTCAGTGAGGACAGGAAAACCTTTAAAAAGTTTAAGATATATGGAAAGCAAAAAGGTTCATGTTGTATATTTCTACTGTGAAACATAGCTTACTTTACTTTAGGCTGTAAAACTGTGCAAGTTATTAGGCTTATTTTGCCAAAGGAACAAAACTGACTGTTCTGGATAAGTAGGGCTTCAAACCATCCCTCGCTGACTTATTTAATCTAAAGCAAGTCCTTTTTGATAAATAACATCCATATTTTACTGCTGAACTAATGTTATTTGACATAAACTATTCAGGAGTTTTGAAGTGAAAACGAGCTGCTCATTAAGGTTTAGTATTAGAGCTATTTAACAGTGAAAAAATAGGTTGCTGTAACTCAAATAAAAGGAAAATATAAAAAGAAGTGTAAAATCAACAACTTGTATAGTTATAAGTATGGATCAGCTACACTGTGACTCTGGTTATGAAGCTTTCTTCGGGGCAGGAACAAAGTTAACTGTTTTAGGTAAGACACATTCTGTAAAAGGTAAGAAAAAAGCTCAATAAACAAGAATGAAATTAATTTACAAATGAGTTTGTTTATATACATTTAAAAACAATCGATTTGGAACAGTGAAAAGTTTTACGCTTCACGCTTTTTGGCATGAAGCATGAACACTGTGTCAGTATGAAGCTTACTTTGGTCAGGGAACCAAACTGACAGTTCTTGGTAAGTAAAAACATTCTAAATCTTATGATCAGCCAACAAGAGAAGCAAAACACACAACTTCTCATTTTTCTGTTATTTGATAAGAATGAGTATTTAAAACTGTCATTAATCAAACAACCAGTGTTGTTTTTTTCCTGTGAGAAAAAGCTTGAGTTTCTCAACCAAAGGTTCACGCCAGTAGAGGAGCAAAATTAACAGTTTTAGATAAGAAACCCTTTTAAATGTTATTAAGTGTTGCATTAAAATTAAAGTTGCAGCCTCTAAATCTGAGAACTTTTTGTGCATTAAATTTTTTTATCAAACAAAGAAAGAAATAGCTGGTTTATTTACAGAGTAAGAAAGACAGAAGCAGCTGAAAGAGTTTTTGTTTCAGTTCGGAGTCTCTGTGCTCCTACAACGAAGCTTACTTTGGAGCTGGAACTAAACTCACCGTTTTAGGTAAGAAATGTTTAAAAAACTAGAAGCAAAAAACACTGCAGAGATAGGATTGTAAGGAACATATACAATAAACCTGCTGAACAAAATTACTTTATTTTAATTAACTTGGCATACAAAGTAAAATCAAATGCCCTTAAATTGCATTCATGCCATTAGAATGTCTGTCATTGAACAGCTGTTAAACATTTGGCTCAAAGCCCATGTTAATCAGTCTCTCAGTCGGTTCTTATCAGCTCTGTGTAACACTGTGCCAGCCAGTCTGAAGCTTACTTTGGAGCTGGAACTAAACTCACCGTTTTAGGTAAGAAAGTGAAATATGTACAAGAAAAGCTATCCTAGTTAGTTTTTTCTGCAGCTGTTGCTCAGTGTGAGCAACTTGAATCCTGCTTACTTCGGTAGAGGCACAAAACTCACAGTTTTAGGTAAGAAAATTGATCAAAAAGTATCTTTTTGTTTGTAAGTAGATATAAATCAGAAGGATATCTAATTGCTTTGTTTTTCATTTTTGCTTACAAAGGTAGAAATGGATTCTAATTAATGAAGAAAGGCATCATTTTAAAATCATAATTTTAAGCAGAATTTAGGTTTGAATATTTTGCGTAACTTAATAAAAACCCAACATCTTGTCTTTTTTAAGACAGCATTATTTTAAATGATGATTGAAGTCCTTAAGATATGAAGGAATTAGTTAAACTAAAAGAAAAAAAAGTTTCAGAATTGATGAATTCTGATTGTGTCAGGACTCAGAGCGCAGTAAGTTTCTCACATGTCACTGACTGCTGTGCTCTGGCAACTATCCGGCTTATTTCGGTGAAGGAACCAAACTCACAGTTATTGGTAAGATTGCAGAAAAACAAAAAACCTCTCAAACATAGAATGGCAGTAATGTCTGACAGTGTAAAGATTGTCTTATTGTGTCGTCATGCAGTGACTAAATCAACCATTCTGTCTCATCTTTTATTAACAGAAGACGGACGAAAACCTACTCCACCAACAGTGAAAATTTTTCCACCGTCACCTAATGAGTGCAGATACAAAGACAAACCAGATTGGAAAATAAGGAAGACGCTGGTCTGTGTGGCCTCTGGTTTCTACCCAGATCATGTCAGTGTTTCCTGGAAGCTCAATGACGAGGACGTCACTGATGAAGTGGCGACTGACCCGGCCGCCAAGTGGGATAAGAATAAAAAATATTACAACATCACCAGCAGGCTGAGGGTTCTTGCAAAGTACTGGTTCAAACCCGAGATTAAATTCAGTTGCATCGTCCATTTCTACAATGGAGAAAAAAACACCACACACCCAGCCTCTATTTCAGGTACGTGAGGAAAACATTACCCCTAAAGGGACTTTTTACATCATGTGATAATATGTGTAACAGTTTCTTCTTCTATCGTCTTTCAGGAAATGAAAAAGCTAACATCATGACACGAGGTGAATAAATATCTTTTCTTTAATTGTTCCTTTAACTCATATTGCTTAATTTCATTAAATCTGTTGATAAGAAATTGAGCATTAGTCTCCCCACTTAATGTTTCCCAAACACCCCACAGAAAAATACCTGAAGATCACCCAGAACGCCAAAGTCTCCTACAGCGTCCTGATCGTGAAGAGCTGCGTCTACGGGGCCTTGGTCTGCTTCCTGGTGTGGAAGCTTCAGGTCAGTTAAACAAACTGACTTCTATAAGCAGTTATTATTTGTCTAATGAACAGAACCTGATATAACATATTTATTGATGCAATCAAGCTCCACAGTTCCCTCAGTGCAATAAAGTAAGGTGTATAGCAGGATAAAACATTAAATATTTAAAGGCAGGTCCATTAACAAAAAATATAAAATAGTTTGAATGCTGATCTCTGACTTCAAAAAGATGTTTTTTGCTCTATTCAATTAAAGCCATGGATAACAGGATTGCTTGAAAGAGAAGGTAAAAAATCAATAGGTGAGAAAAGGAACCCCCCCAATCCCTCCTAAAATAGCAGTGTGTAATTTATATATAGGTAAAATTAAATAAAAAGAATGCTGATTTGCTGTAAATGGAAACTAAGTTCTGCAGGACTTTCAAAAACAATTACATAAAAAAATCAGATCAGTTGACTTTTCCACCATTTGAAGAACAGTATGAACCCTTTGGAAATTGCATTATTGGTGATGGTGTTTCATCCCAGTTTTTTTACTGCCTCCCATCTGGTTTAAACTACCAAAGAATACACTTCTTAATAATTCTAAATTTATTCTTTGTTTTCCAGAGTTCATCGAGGAAACGGAGCAAGTGAAAATGAAGAAAACCAGAACCAGAGGCTTATTTCAGGATAAAACTCTTGATCTTCTGTAAATACAATTTAAGGGTAGAAACATCTATTTCTCTTTATTAACCTACAAATGAGATGATAAAACTTTCTAAATAAAAAAAACATATATATATATATTCCTGTTAAAAAATTTAAAGCTTTTTTTTTACCCTACTTGCTATTTTTTTCTTAATAAAGACATCTTATCAAATATTTCCATTCTAGTGCTGGTTTTATTCTCTCTTCTCATCAGTGGTTTCTAAGATGCTGTCATATTTTCAGAGAAATGTATGCCTTTTTCTCAGTATAAATGTGTCATGTAGGAACTCTAGAAATTGTTATTTGCTGGTTTAACTGATTCATAAGGAAACTTATAAGCTTGAAAACATTTTTTTTTCCATTTTTCCGATTGCTTCTGAATATGTATATTTCCTTAAAATCATGTTGATATCACATCTAAATATTCATATGAAAACAAATGATCGAGTTACGGTTAATTTAGTTTTTCCATTTTGCATAAAGAAAGGTGATTGTTATGTTTCATACTCTCTGATACTGGAACAGTGGGAGTCACATAAGAGCAGGAAGTCAGTGTTCTGATCTGTGCAGAGAAGAAGGTCAGATCTGCTGCAGAGGAGGAAGACAGAGCGAAAGGAGCAGAGGACAGGATGTGGTCACAGAGCAGCCTGCAGCTCCGTCTCCATACTGAGAAACGACAGAGATGCAACCTTTAACCTTTACCACAACCTCCGGCTCTCTGGTTGCACCTGCATCCGTCTACCAACACGATCACACATTTACACCACCCGTGTCAGTGCAAACAGCTGCCTCAAGCTCCATTTCTGCATCAACCAAAGCGAAAAAAAAAAAAAAAGAGCATCTGTCTTTATGTGTTATATGACAATCAACCAACGAAAGCTGTTCGTTATGATCTGGTGCAAAACTTTGAAATTAGTTCATTAAAACAGCAGGAAAAAAGCACGTCACACTGTGCAGGACATCATTATTTTTTAAGCGTCTATGCCACAAGTATCCTCCAATATTTTTTATTTGACGTGTCCTCAGTTGGGGTCAAGCTGAGAAGGAAGCATCTGTTTCACCCACAGTTTCCGTATAAACATGTTTGTTCTGATCTATGTCCGGAAGAACACACAGGAGCATCTGTGAGGCAAAAACAGACCCATGTTTTCTGTGACACCTGTTGTTTAATTATGTTCCTCCTACTGAAAACCATCCTCTTAAAAACTATTTCACTGTGCAGATTAAGAAAAGTGAAATAAAAAATAAATGACTTTATAGAAGAAAAGTCACAGATTATCAAAATGCAGATATGATATCACTTTTGTTACTTTGCCGCACAAAAGATAACTTTTTCACTTTTTGAAGTTATTCTTAGGAATAGAATAGAATAGCATAGAATAGAATAGAATAGAATAGAATAGAATAGAATAGAATAGCTATCTAGTAATTATGTAGAGAAATGCTAAGTTTTTTTATTTGTTGGAAGGTTTATTGGTTTTCAGGTCTTCTGGCTTAAATCCACTCTATACACTCAGCACCAGAAACAAACATGAATTTACAGCTGTTAGTTTATATGCTCCACTAATCTGGAATAAAATCCAAGAAAACTAAAACCCAAAGGTCCTTTAAATCAGTTTCAAAAAATCTATTTGTGTCTGACTGTGCTATCTAAACATTAATTAAAGGTTGTAGTCATACTTCCTTTCATATGTCAGGTTAGGGATGCTGCTTTGGGAAGTTTAAAATGAGGTCTGGTCATATATAATAAGAAAGCAACCAAGGGAACCGTAATAACTGTAGGGGAACCTCAAAGATCTCAGTGCATGGGGGAAATCAGTCAGCAGGTGAACTAATGGTCACCCACTACACAAATCTAGCCTACAAGAGTTAAGGCCTTGTAAGAATGAAGTAATAGAACGTTTCAAGACATACAGGAGATGCGGCAAACAGATGGAGGATGGTGATCTGAAGATTAGACAAAATTTAAACTTTACACTAAAAACCAAAGAGGAGCAACTAAGACTGATGTTAGCAGCATAATACTAAGGGAATGCTTCTCTTCAGCAGGGAAATAAAACATGGTCTTAAAAAGGTTTGAAAGGCTGCAAAAGACTTGAGATAAAGTTGGACTTTGGGCTTGGACAGAGAAAGTCTAAGTGTTAGAAAGGCTTGGTCAAAGGTCAAATCTAAATCCAGATGAGGATTTAGGTTGACCTTAACAGAGGATCTGTCTAACCAACCTGAGCTCAGTCTGACTGCCACAATATTTATTGGTGCAATATATTCATTATTCTAGGGTTTGATCATTCTAATTTCTGAAAATTTTCTCATACATCCCCTGCATACCTGCAGCTTTTACATTTTTTTGTGCATTTAAATAAAAATGCAGACATTGTTTCCTAAAACTCTGTAAAACTTTAAACCTGTTAATGTGTAAAGCTAGAAGAAACATACCACAGGAGTTCTGGTTCTGACGGGTTTTGACTCAGGCTGTATGCAAAAATGTACTTTTTAGATTTTTATTTGCAGAATAAACAAAATCATTCCCTTCCACGATTATGTGTTTCTGTTGGTCTGTTGCATAAAATCATATAAAAAATGTTAGGTCTACTATAAAAGTTTTAAATGGTCTACACACTTTGGAGGTGTTCTACGTAGAGGTATTCTGGTATAAATAATATTAAACCTTTTGTCAATATGTAACTGCTTAAAAAAAAATCCAAAATAAAGTTTAAATTAAAATTTGAATCCACAAGTAATTCTTAATTATCCTTACAGAAACGTTTGCCTGCATACAATAAAACAGTACTACACATAAATGAAATAATGATAACATCAACAAGGTTTTAAAGTAACACTGAAAATTAAAGTAACATATGCATAGTATAGAAGCATGAAGAGCACTAACAGATCCATCTGAGTACAGCAGATGCAGGCGGAAAAAGAAAAGCAGTAACTCACGCAGAAACACGACACCAAGTGTTTCATTCGTGCATGATCATACTTCTGAATCAGTCACTACTTTAACATGATGTAAAAACTGGATTGATTTAATATAGATTTCATTTTAAAAGACAGATATCACTACTTAAAACAGACAAAAACAGCAGAAAAACCTTTTATAAAATCCAGATTTTTATCCAATTAGTTCATTTAGTCCACATTCAGAACAAAGAACAAATATGTATATATGTTTGTGTATATATGCAGTAAACACAAACAAATAATGATTTTTTCAAAACCTCAAAACTTGTGGTATCAATGTTATCATTGCAATTGTTCCCTAAACATTAAATCAGTTTGAATAGCATAAAAAATTATTTACAATACAATATCGTCATATGAACAACCTTGGTTAACTATTAAAACTAAGGTTAAAGAAGAGATATAGCACTAAAAAATAATAATTGAGGCAGGGACAGTAGCGACAGGTACATTACTGAAGTTTGCCTGCGATGAGCTAAGCTTTTATAAAAGATCTTGAAGAAATAAATGAATTGTCCCTTTCATACATATCTTGGGAGGATTTCACCTTTTTTTCTGACAGTGTACCTCATGAACAGCAGCAATGCAAAGAGCGCCCTCCACTGGATAAACTGTAACACTGCTGTCAATCAGAGCAACAAATCTCTGAGCTAGAACAGATTTTAAGTAAAATCATTTGAATTGAATAATAACAGACACACAAAAATAATAATACTCATAATGGCACAATTATGATTAATTCTTGCAAGAATAACAACTTATAGAGGACTCAATCAAACTCACATCTAACAGAGTAGTTGCTATCTATATATATATATATATATATATATATATATATATATATATATATATATATATATATATATATATATATATATATATATATATATATATATATATATATATATATATATATATATAAACCTTTACATAGCAGAAGGATGTGTGGAGGGCCAAACCTCGAGCCGTGCATATCTAAAAGAGGCCAGCTTATTGTGAAGCTCTGAAGAAAGAAAAACAATCTCTCATACCATGAAAAGACCCTGCATTCAATGTATCTCTTAGGGATGACTAAGTGACCTGGTAAAGGAGATGTTATGGACAATAGTGATTTAGCCCACACAAACTGAGATTTTAGGAAGGAGCTTCCTGACAGGTCAGGTAATTCATAATTCATCCAAGAGCCATGCAGGTAGATATATTCAGTGGACAAACAATAAATCTAAACTTTGACTGAAAAGGCAATATAATAAACATGGGTTTGATGGATCCTACTGTATGTCTGTGTTGCTGTTATGATCCTGGTGTTTGAGTGTCGAATTGGGTGTGACTATGTGTCTCCTTTAAAATAGTTCCCACACGTCTGATATGGAAGCAGCTCATATCAAACTGCCATCTGGGTACTGTAGAAAAGTGCAGGACAAAACAAAGCAAAAACAACCATCATGGCTTCCAGACAAACATTAGAAAGTTTATTCATTCCCTTGATTAATGTGCAAGAGAAAAAAACATCCACAAATCACTGCAGTTAGGATTGACCCATATGAAACAGAAAAGTTGGACAAACTGCATCTGACATCTTATTGACATATTTTACATAACAATCTCCTACATAGAGAAGCTATACGAGCTGACATCCATGGACACATTCAAACAGTGTTTGAGAAACTGTTTAAAGGACGTCCGAACTCTTTATATGAATAATTAGGTTCTGGTGACTGGCAGAGTCAATAACTATTGTATGCATACATGTCCGTCCTAGATTAGAGATAGAGGCTACATTATCAGCACTGCTGACATGTTTAAGGACACTGTGAATTTGGAGAGTTCAACTATAGTAATGTTCTAATTACAATGCATCGTAGGGTAGACTTGCGTAGTTAAGGCATGCACAGCAGAGACATACTAAACATGAACGCAACAGCTACAACACACATACAGCTAAACACTTTTATACAAAAAGCTTGATATAACAGAAACTCTGGCTTGGAAATTTTCTCAGCACACAGCTCCGCTGTTTGAGGTCCCACGAATTTTCAGATTTCTGGAATGTAATGAAAACTGAGCTTTGCAAAACTGTCTGCTCACGTTGGAACATCCCTTTGCCCAGCATGAAACAATCACTGCAAGCTTAGTGTAAACTAAAAGTAAAACAATACGGAAATCTAACTTACTGAGCAGTTTCTAAAGCGATTCTGCCTACCAACATT